AACAACGGTTTGCAGTTTGCAGGATGCTCGAAGAAATGCACGATGTATGAGAAGATTCAATAATTAGTGTGCATATCTCGGCATAGGTGTGTGTTTCTTTATTTGAACGAATAATAGAATTGTCTATTTGGCGCTTCATAAAATTATGTTGTTGTTAAGAAAATGTAGAAACCCGTACATTCCCCGCTCCCAAATGGCAGCAGGTTGTATTGGGACATTCTTTCACATACCTTATTATTATTATTATTATTATTATTATTATTATTATTATTATAAAAAACAATAGTTTCAAAATTATAAACGTCCCTATAACCCAAAATTTGGGGATAAGCTATGACACGTACATAATTCCTAACCGCATATGGGTTTAGTACTAATGAGTAGAAAACCCTGAGCATGAATATGCATTAAGTTTGTTGTGTATTGAAAAAGTCTTCCAGCATATCATTCCAAGAAGCAAGTTATATACATTGGGTGACCTCGCTTTTGTATCGATATGAAGAGAATAATAGGATTAACGCCCAAACTTCCTAGATTATATAATAGTTATTCATCGTTGTTGAATTACGATAGATTGACAATATTTTGAACTACCATGACAACAATTAATTTATAAAATTGCTTCATTGCGTTACATCCAACGATCGTGATCACAAAGACGTATGATCAAACAATTCATAACATGGTTTATAACGTCTTAAAAACTAACACGACTCATGACAACATTGAGTTGGATCGATTCTAAAATCCCGGTCCATTCCAGTTAGTCAGACTAAGTTTTTATTCGGCCTGCACGAAGGATCCGAGGCCGCCCTTTTAACTAACGTCCACGAGGGAATAGGACACAATAAACAGACTACCCACCGCCACGGCAACGGCCAACGGCAAAGGACAAGAATGGAGGACAGCAGCAGGACGACAAATCCTGGATTTCACGACAAAATCCCAAAAGAGAGGTGTTTATGAATCTCTTTCTTTGAACGATTCATTCATTCATTCTCCTTGCCGTCCGGGAACTTCCACCCATTTGCATCCTTTTCCTTAAATTCCTATGTTTACCAATTCAAACCCCTCACTCACTCACGCCCACTTAATTTTAAACCCTATCACAAATTCCATGATCTCAAATTGCCAACGTGTATCATAAGTGTCCTCAACCAGAAAGTCTTCCTCCCTTTCGCTATCAATTCAACACTTATTTGTTTCATTTGATATCTATGCTAATAAGTCAATTTATATATCCGTCGTGGTTTTTATTGATCTAAAAATTCGTATAATCGTGAACGATTAAATCAAGTTGAATTATTGATCAAGATATGTTTATATTAGTGCGCGGATGCATACAAACTTGTAAACAGAAAAACCGTTTTAATGTCGCATAATAGATATTCTAATGAATATCGATACATTACTAGAATACATAAATTGCAACACATAAAAATTTATCTCTCTCTTTATGCTCATATCACTTCGAAAATAAATCCAGACATATTCAAAGTTTGGTACTGTTTTGAACACTCAAAGTTTAGGAAATGATAGGATACAGAACCCAGCAAGAACTACAAAACCTACAAAGTTTCGTGTCTTAATATCGCCCCTGATTTGATCATATCAGATGGTAATATGATTCATATAAGAGGTGGTCAAACACGAGTTTTGTAACTCAGAGTTCTGTACCGTAACCCAATCCTACTGTCCATATAAAATTGAGTTGATTACATCATAATTCTCATCGACAATAACCTAACCATTTGGAAACAAATTGAGATCATTAATTATTGCATATATTGCATTGCATGACAGTAAAGTAAGGATTTAGAACCATTGGTACCGAATTTTATTTTTTCCAAGCGGAAAAGGACAAAATATGTCATCCAATTCCATCTTATATATTGGTCATCATGTGTGGTGTGGGTTATCTTTTACTTTCCCATTGTTAGTGCCGATGGTCAAACATTTGAATGGAAGCAGCTAAATATTCTTTCTCTTATTATATCTCCACCAGAGATTTAAGAATGGGGAAAATGAGACGATAAAAGGACACGAAGAAGGAGATTTAACAAAGTGCATATAGAAAATGATAATATCTCAATAGAGGATCCCGCACTTTGTTTTCTTTGAGAAGCGACATCCACGTTATTATCGTCTTGATCATTCATTTTCCACCCTTTTACTTTGCCATCAACCCTTGTACCAATCCTGCAAATCCACAATCCACTTCCAACTCTAGTTGTTGGTCTCCGTTGGTAGATGCTGCCCCCCACCACCTCAACGGCCACATTCACTCATCTCAACTTGATAGCATGATTAAGGCATACAACTTATCGTACGGATAACTTGATAGAGAAGTCGGTTTTTATAATATGGTGTAAGCTAACTCAACTCTGATATAGTAGATCACTTCGTGGTTGTTTGAAACATGTAGATATTGGCTTGTTTTGTTTGTGATCGTGTTGAAAAAGATTACAATATCTTTCGTCATATATTCTCTTCCAATGAACTTGTTAAATTGTTCGTTAAAACTCATTTCATGAGGACATATGGAGACTCGCCCATTATGGAGCATTGGTAGGCCAGCCTCGCTAGGCAAGTGAGATGGTACTATCAACGAAGCTCCGAGGCTTGGCCTCACCAGTGAGGCATAAAACCTACCAAGACGAGGAAGGAAACGAGAACACATCCCATGCCAATTAGGGGTCATTTGGATGGTGAATTTCTGAAATGAGGAAACTTGACCCAATTGTCTTACACTTGCCTCACAAAAACTTATCAATTCAGAATACTTGCCCCTTCGCCTTCTGTGTCAATTCAAAACGATGCAAAACGAGGCAATTTGAATTGCCTCGTCCTAATTGTTGCATCCCCATTGTGTGTTGATAACAAGACTATTTGACCTAATTGCTTTATTTGAAGACAACTAAAACAAATTGTCTCATCCAATTCCATCATCCAAACGATCGGGATCTCGTCTCCGGCTCGCCTAGCCAACAGGCCTAAAAAGAGATGCCATGTTGATTAGGTGATTTCCTTTCTATTCGAAAGTACTTTATGGATATACCTGGATATACCAACAACTTTCGATGGATATACCAAGTTCGAGTCTATGCATCCATGTCAATCTTGATTCTTGACAAGGGAAGGGGTATAAGTTCGAAAGAAAAAGTTTTGATTTGGTATTGCTAATTACACATATTTCATTTTCATAAAAACCTTCCCATAAACTTTATTTGAAGAGTTGTGAATCGTATTATTAACGACGATGAATTCAAATTAGTCAATTCTTTTTTTTGAAAGTCAAATTAGTCAAATTAGATTTGCTTGATTACATATACAAATTATTCTCTGTTCAGCTTCAGATTTCTACCCTCCATTCAATGAAAAAGGTGGATACTTTGATGACTAATTATCATGGTGGGGCGATAGATGGGTAGATAGATACAGTGACATGATGATCAAAGCATTCAGCAGCGGCAAACAATGAATTGACATGGCGACATTGCTGCGCTTACGCAATTCTCTATACAAACCTGTGGTGGTGGGAACCAAAAGGAATCCCACCAACATAACTAAGTGCTTTGCGTCACCATATCACATTCAGAGCTCAACCCAAGAAGAAGAAGACCCTCCTCCCTCCTTCCATTTTACAAGGCAATCCAACAAAGTGCAACAACCAAAAAAAAAAAAAAAAAAAAAAAAAAAAAGGAGAGTTAAAAATCCTTGGGTTGGGTGGATGGAAATCCATCTCCTCTGCTTTTTCCCCTCTCTCCCCTGCCTGCAGAATCTCCATAAAGGAATTCTTTCCATCTGCTGCTTAGAAAATTTATTAGAAAACAGAGAAGATGCTAATATCCCTACATATTATTAATGTGTTCCTTTTTTCTCTGCTTTCGAAGAAAAGGTAAAGGGAGAGGTGAGAAGAAGAGATGCTGCTGCTGATTGATCCAGAAAAGTGGTCTTGACCTTCCAAAGTGTGTTTAGAGGCACCTTGTCCTAGTGTGATGTGATGAGTTCAAACAAACACACAGATTAGATTCTGCCTGTCAGTCAGTCCTCAAGGTCAAAACCCCTGATATGCTGATGCAGAGACAGGCATACATATCGGGAAGGGAAAAGGGGTGGGGGTTTGGGAATCTGGAGTTTGGACCCATATCCATCCTTAGCTGTAACGGACGGTTCTGTTTGCCACACACACAGAAGGGCAAATTTTCATTTATGCAGCCATTTGCTAGTATGGGAGTGGGGCGGGTTTGAGGCATCTTTGTCCGGGTTGTCTCCCGTTTCAAACTTAGTATCGGTACTTAGATTTTGGGATACTTCGTTGATAAACGAAGATCAACCAACAAATATTATGCGCAAAGAGATTTTGAAAGTCGTAACACTATGGCAAATGTCAAGAGGATTTTATTAGCTTTTGAAATTTAGGATACTATTGGTAACATAAAATGACATTGTTGTTCATCAGTTGGTACTCAGGGGAATGTCACCAAGTGCATCCATTGCGAAATTTTCTTCGAGTACTTCACATAGACGCAATCAATACGAAGATTCCTCGCACTTACTAGAGAAGAGTTGGCAAAACTGACCCTCTTCTGCTTGCAGCAAGATTCTTGCTTGCTGTGCTCTTGGAAGAAAAAGACTTATGCCAGATGTTCATGGATTAAACCCAGTAACTTGTTTACCATTTTCTGTACTGTTCATTCAGCTCCATACATTGCACAAGTATGAACTGGTAACTGCTAAACTAGAAACACTTATACCTCCCTCCCCGTTCTTTTCCCCCAAACTAACACCAGACTGAGAAGGGAACAGCAGTAATAACTAGCAGCTCCTGTAACTTGCCTCTCTTTATCATTATCACCTCCATCTCCTAAAAATCTCAATCAAAGAATTCCTAACCAAAACAGGTCCCCAAAAGAACCTCCAAATTACAAAAGAAAGAAAGAAGAAAGTTGTATAATCGACACATAACAACAAAAAGCTGCCTTGCCTGTATGTTCTTGTTACAGTACTGGAACCGAAATGGCCATACGAACCGAGACATCCCCGACGAAACTCGAATCCCTAGTCGGCGCCACATTCGCACCACCGGCATACACCGCCCTTGAATACCCACTCAACCTCACCTCTGCAGCATTGCCATTCTCACACCTCTGAAACACTCTAGCAAGCGACGCGGCCTTCCTCCTCGCCCTCTTCGTCCCCGTGAACAGAAGGGAATGCACCAAACCGGCCAAAGCTGGCGCCTTTAACACCTTCTCCGTTGCTGCCATCCCGCCACACCGGCAGAGCTCCAGCAATGCCGCCACCGCATTCTCTTTCCCTCTTGGCGTGCCGCACCTCATCATCCCAATCAACCCTGCCAGTGCAGCGTCCTCCTTTACCACCGCCGCAGCCCCTGCAGGCTGCCGCAAGATCAATGCGAGAGCACCCGCAGCCTCCTCTGCCACCCCATCATTCCCCATTGCCGCCACCAGGGCGGCCACGGCTCCAGCCTCGATCATCCTGCCGCAATTCTCCGAATGTGTCGACAGGTTGAACAGGGCAGTGACCGCGTCCTTCTTACCTCGAGGCGTCCCGTCCCTTAGCAGTCGGGACAGAGCTTCGACGGCGCCATCTTCGTCGGCGATCTTCTTCTTGTAGTCATGAACTGCTGAGAGGCTGAACAGAGTTGCTGCTGCGTTCTCCCTAGCCTCGGTAGTCAACCCGAACCTCAGCACTTCCACGATCGACCCCAGACAACGTTGTTCGTCCATGATCCGGCTCTTGTTCTTGTCGTAAATCGACAAATTCAGCATTGCCGTCACTGAATTCTCCTGAGCCACTGGATTCTGAGACGACAGGAGATCGCGGAGGTGAGGGATCGCCCCAGCCTCGGCGATAAATCCACGATTTTCCTTCCCTGTTTTCGCCAGAAGCCGAATCTCACGAGCTGCTACGGTTTTCTCACCTTGCGAGCCATTGGCAAGGTGTTTAACGAGAAATGCTGATGTGGCCTTGTTGGCTTCCACGGCTGCTTTGGTGGGCAAAGCCGCAGCGAATGGCTCAGGAGACGATGTCGACGCTGAAGCAGCACCGTCGGGGCCCTCCGGAGCATCGTCGTGAGGGATCCCATGAGCTAGACACCATTGATTGATCAAATTTCTTAAGGCTTTGTTTGGGACAAGGCGAGTGTTTGACAACATTTGCCCAGTTTTCGGGCAGTTGCAATGCCCTTCCTCCATCCACCGCGAGATAGAGCCCCGATCGTAAGTCTGCCCGGTAGAGATGATCACGGGATCATGCATCAAATCCAGAGAAATCGGGCAGCAGAAGTCCTTTGGGATTGTTACGAAAGTATCAGCAATCTCCTGAGAAATAAGCCCTCTCCTCTGTTTTTTATGACTACTAGTACTATGGACAAATTCTGGTTCTTCTCTATCATCAATTCCAAACAACAAAAACCTAGAGTACCTCACAATTGCGACGAATCCGTTGAGGACCGAAGCCGGCGGCTCGACATCGCCCTCGTGGCTGACAATTTGCTCCTCCAGGTACTCAATTTCAGCTCTGCAAGATTTCGCATCGGAAATCCCCAATTTCTCGACGAAGAAGAATCTCAAGTTGGACTCAGGAGGAATCTTCCCGTTCTCGAACTCATCGAGAAACGAGAAGAATTGAAATCTTAGGGTTTCATCGTTCTTATCGATGTGCAGTTTTGACCGCCTGGCTTGCCTCTGCAAGAGCTCAATTTGTTCTCTGACATCCAAGCTTAGTATCACATCCCCAAAGGGGAAAACATCCAAGAGGGTTAAAATCTCCTGGTCGAGGTCATGGAAATGGCCGGAGATTGACTGGTTCTGAAGCAAGAGCCAGAGCTTACTGGATTGGACGCAGTAGTCGAGCAGGATTTTGGAGCGGTACAAGACGAGGTAGAGCTCCTTGAGGCAAACGACGGCGTTTGGCGGGAGGGAGGAAACTGAACCGCCGTAAGCATCTTTCAAGTAATCCAGTAGAACGAGGAAGACTTCGATCTTGCGGATTAAAGAGCGGGAATTCCTGCGCTGGAAGAAGGTGGAGTTGCCGGAGAAGCAGGTGACGAGGTCGGCCGCCACGGCGGCGAGAGTCTGCAGGAGGGCGACTTCGTTTAGGTCCACGGGGGCCAAGAAGGCTTCCAGTGAGGGGGATCTCCGGCGCCGGAGTGAAGAAAAGATTGCCGCTGTCGCCATTTTGTCAAAAAGAAATCGAATTTAGAGGGCGACCCAGTAAGTGAAGAGGGGGATTGCAGTAGAAAATGAAGGAAAGAATGAATCTTTTCTTGAGGGCTATGGAGAAGAGAAGAAAAGAAAACCCCCTTTGTACAGAGAGAGAGAGAGAGAGAGAAGGAGAGGAGATTGTTTGGTGGAGGAGACGAAGGAGGAGGAGGAAGAAATGAGAAGAAGGAGGGAAAAGGGTAAGAAAGAGGGGCAGGATGGGGTTTTTGCTGCACTGTAGTTGTCGTTTGCCCCAGTTCTTGGGTTGAATCTTCAAAGTTTTAATTCTATATTTTATTTATAATTTAGGGAAAGGGCAAGATTTATTGTAGTCTATGGGGAAGCCAACTGGTGTTTTTATTATTAAAAAATAATATTCGGGATGACAATTTTATGGGCAAGAATTAAAAGGCAAAGGAAAAAAACTGCCGGAAATGCGCGTCTTCTAGAGAGAGAGAGAGAGAGAGAGAGAGTTTCTTTGTTATGACTTATGACTAAAATGGCTTTTTCTGCTTGTTTCCGCAAAGTAGAAAGTACCACTCTTTGTTGGTCAAATGGATCACATTAGTCGAATCGCTAATTAAAAATTGCGGCATAATTCCTTTTCTGTCCAAGGCGGTTGTTATTAATTAAAAAATAAACACCAATTACACGGCATAAGAAGTTAATGTCAAAAATCAAAACGCCATCAAAATGTCCATAAAAAATGTCAAAAATCAAAACAATAAAATTATAGACAAGAAACTTGGAGAATATATGGTGCATTGGTGCTAATAGTGTAACACCTTTTAGTGTTCGCATCATACTAACAATATTCATTAAGTGTATTATGGTAACTACCTGCTTATAGGTTATAGTAGCTCCCTCTCCTTTTTCATCGGTTACTTTTGGATTTCAACAACAAATTATAACTTGATAACTAAACTTAATAGATGTTAAGATTTAGTATCAAATTAATTTTTTATATAATTCATAAAAATATTGATGAATAATTACATTTTAGTACCAAAAAATTTATGTCTTATATTTTAATATCTAATTATTTTAATTTAAATATAGGCAAATACCATTGTTGTGGATGCTTTCAAAAGTCCTTCTATTTCATCTATATTATAATCGGCTTGTACCTTTTTTTGTTTAAATTTTAATTTTTGTAAAAATAGAACGGGTTCATTATGATCTACAAAATATTATCCATTTTCAATAAATGTTGAAGAATATTTTGTTGAACTGCTTGTTACCTGATATTATCAACCTTTTCCATTATGTACAACATTTTTATCATCATCATTTTAACTCAAGTTAAAAAAATGTTTCATTATGATCACAAAATTTGATATATTTATGGACAATAAATTTTACACCGAATATACCACCTTGTATGGGGGGTAGACAATGTTGGTTAGCATTTTCTTATAATCATGTATACAATCTATTTACACTATTGTATATTGCTACCATCATGATAGATTTCCATACCGTCATGGTATAATCCTATGTATTATCAAAGTTTATCATTATAGTATAGAATGATAAAATGTGCCTCAATTTTCTTGTTTGTCAAAGTGAATGTTATTTTGAAGACAATAATTAGTCTAATGTTTATGAGGAAAACATTTGAACTCCGAATAAAAAGAAAAAAGAAAATGTGGTGCTCACAATGAAGTCAACTAGATTTAGCCATGTTGATAAATTTAGATATCTTGTTGTGCATTTTCTCCTACAACATTACCACTCCTTTTTTTTTTTTTTTTTTTTTTTTGCACAATTGATTGATTACAATCTTTGAACAATATTATATTTTATTATGATAAAGAACCTTTATTCGTGGTCGTCATTTTATGATGTTGCATTCAGGTCAAACTTCGGCCAGTCGGTCGTTGTCGCCTGGGGTTGAACTCGTGGAGCGAGTTAGGATGTCCATTCAGCGACTCTGTAACGATTCTGACTCTCTCCAAACAGCGCAAGCCCTTATATGTTGGGGAGGTGCTAGTGAAGGGATCATCCGAACACAAGAGTTTTTGGTTTTCCTGCGTTAGAGATGGCAATGGGACAGGTTTGCGATGAGTTTGCCTAAAACATCCACATCCTCATTTCAAATATCCAAACCTATACTCTCCTCATATCCATGCATAGAACGTTTTGCAACCCCATAACCATATTTGTGGTATTCGAGTACTCACGAGTAACAATCGCCCCGTACATCCAACATTGTTATACCTAAAATTTTAAATATAGATTTTCAATTATAACACTAAACATACCTAATAAATCATAAAACCAACAAAGTTACAATAATGCTTAATACAGTTCATCACATCATATCCTAAAACATCCATTAGTCCATAAGATTAAGTATAATACTATCCATATCATTCTTCGTCGACTATGAAAGAGTGAAGAGAGAAGTGAGAAAAATAAATTAGGTTTTGGTTTGGGTGTCACTCAATTACAATTCTACCATTTATTTTTCTTAAGTTACCCTCTCTATTATTGACAGGTTACAATTTGATCATTAATGTGTTTTTAGTAGTGAAAAATACTCATGTTGTGGCAGGTACGAGTATGTAAGTGGGGTGGGGACCGGGAGACTAAAATCATACCCGCCTATTCCTAGTCAATGTAAGGATTCTCGAGTTGAATGAGTCGGGGACGGTCGACTACCCGTGGATCAAGGTTCTATTTCCATCCCTACCTATAACATTTGAACAATATTATCGTCATTACTAAATTCAATGGCGAAGTTACGTTGATGAAGGGAAAGACTATAGCCATCATCTACTCTCAATTCTCAACATGTAAAATTACATATAAATTATATAATAAATACAAAAAATATAATAGTTTTTTTTTACAGTAAAAAAATATATATAATAGTTGATAAGCCTTTTCCTTTAACCTTTTAGCAAGTTCAAATTTTCTGAACGTAAAATTTTAACCTCCATCATCCAATTTTCTGGATGTGGCACCGACTGAATCTTGGACTAGTTTCCTGGATTATGTTCACCTTATAATACTGCGACTTGCTTAGCTTTGCTACTGAGTCGTGTTTTTTGGGTGGGTGTGGTCAATAATTTCTTTCTTTCTTTCAATCTGCTCCTCTTATTATTTCTTGGTTCTCCAGTCGTCTGCGTGCAGTTGCGCAGAGGAAGATTCAATGCAGTGGGAAGCGGGGTTGAAAATGACTCCCTCCTCCATTATATTGCCTTCTTTTTCCTTGTCCTTCTTTTTGTTTGAGCAAATGGAATGGATAATACTTTATTTTTCCTTCCAAACTGGTTCTTGTCCATTCGTTTTTCTCTTCTGCTCTAAACTACACTCTATTCCACACGGTGTTAAGAGAAAGAGAGAGATGACCAGAAAAGAGAGATGCTTTCTTTACTTAAAGTCAAACCCATTCTTTCTAGACGTAACTACTCTTAATTACGGTAATTAATTATAGATAGAGATTTACTTTCGCCAGATGAGACTTGAAAGAGGGCGGTAAATTTGGTGCCTTTATGATTGTGGTGGGTGGGTAGTAGGCAATAACGGTAAAATAAATGGGAAAGTGGAAGTCGTCATCTTCTTCTTCTTCTTCTAAATTTATCCTGTGCCTATTCCTGCCCATTAGACGTGTAATAGTAATTTCATCATGGAAAGTAGCTTAGCCGTGCAACCATGGTGGAAGTGGAGGTAATGGGGTATATGTCACCTGGCTGCCTGTTGTTCTGTTCTATTGATCCATTCCATCATTGACCAATTGTGGAGACGTCTACAAAATTACTTGGCCCCAAGTACCTTACTACCGCTTCATGCCTCTGAATAGCAATCAAACTCGTAATTGATGGTATTCGATCCTCTCCGATTCACTCAATGTTGCGATTTTTTATGTTAATTGTTTATGGAGTAGGTATGAGTAAAACCCGTAAAAATAAAATTGATGTGAATGGGGCGAGTTTGAATTTTGACTCTTTCGACCCATATCACAAATACCCCTTCAATAATATTTCTTTCTTCCTATTTTTATAATATAAACATCACATATTAACCTCATGGAGGATTCATTAAAAAAAAAGCGTTTGAAATGTAATTGAGTGGTCACCCAAACTAATATCCCCTCTCAATTTGTTGATAATCTTTTTCACTTATTTCCCCTTTACTAACAAGATTGTGTTAGTTATTTATTGCTTGGTGAATGTGTTAGAGTTGGAAATGAAATGATTTGAATAGTACTATACTTTGTTTTATGGATTAACGGATATATCGAGTGACATTGTTTTTTCGGCCCGAACCAAGTGGTCGCCCAAAATCGAATACTAATTTCCCCCCTCAATTTGTTGATCACTTTTTTCACTTCTTTCCCCTTTATTAACAAGATTGTGTTAGTTATTTATTGTTTAGTAAATGCGCTGAAGTTGGAAATTAATTATTTGAATAGTATTGTACTTTATCTTATTGATTAACGAATAGTTTAGGATTGAATGCTTTGAATTTGTACGGAGAATGGTTGGATGGGAGGAGTTACGGTGCTAATTGTACAAGAGTTAGCACCGTCCTAACCAAGGGTTAGTAGTGATTTAGCTTAGATGTTGTATTGATTTTATAATAATCCGTAGTGATTTCGTTGTTTTTAGTAGCGTTTTTTGCTAGTTATCACGGTGCTAACCCCTATAAGGGTTAGCACCTAATCCCATCCCAGAATGGTTGTATCTTTGTTGATTTTATTATTTATTAGATTCATTTAGTGTTATAATTGAATATATACAGGTTGATTATGAGCATAATAACATTGGATATAAGGTGCAGGTACTACCCATGGGTACCTGAAAATCGCGGGTATGGGGGTATGAGGTTGAAAAACCTCCCATTGCGTGGGTTTGGATATTTGAAGGAGGATGAGTGATGAGGATGGTTAGGATTAGGGATGGCAATGGGTCGGGTTGGGTCGGGTTTTGCCAAACCCAAATCCAAACCCATGGGTTTATCTTTGAAAA